AAATAACAGTAGAATAAAATGGCTTTAAGGTTTGGAAACATTAAGAATCCTGCTGCCCTAAGGCCATTTTCAAAGGGTCCTTCTTTTCTCTTTTATTGATTTCAGAGAGAAAGGGAGAGGGAGAAATATGTATATTGGGGAAAAAGATTTCCCAATATACATATTTTTATGTGCAAATAAACATACCTGCTGTTGTTATCTTTTTTTTAAAAGCCTTTTGAATATGGTCAATCCCACAGGCATACTGAGCTCTCAAGGTTATTAGCTACATTCTTTGTAATTTCTTGCTTTTCTATCAGAATTGACTAAATAAGTAATACACTGAGTTTTTCTAAAACTTGGGTAACTTTCCCTCTTAAAGACTTTCTATGTACAATTTTCATGTTTTGTCCTTTAATAAAAAGTATTATCACCTACTGTAACATAGAGTACATACATGGTCACTAGGTGACTTCCCATGCAGATACACATAACAGAAAATTGCATTTCCTTTGCTTCTATTACTCTGTTGGTAATCTTAAAGATGTTGCCCACTCACTTCTCTCTCAACCTTTGGCACAAACTTAAAAACATGAAACAAGAAAGAATATAAGGTGAAATTAATTTAGGACCTGAAATCAAAGGTATTATAAGTTATAAATGCTTGTAAAATAATCGGCTATCAGATAAAATGGTAGTTAAATGATGAATTGGCCAACAGAATCAGAAAACTGGGTTATCAAAGGTGGAAATTGCTTTAAAGGGCATCTGGTTCAACCATGAAGCAACTTTGTGCTTCATTGCTCTATTTAAAAAAATTTAGCAGTTACACACACACACACACACACACACACACACACACACACACAACACACATCTACTTCTGGTATTGGAGACCAAAGAAATAAAAATGAAAATAGAATTTTGCTCTTAAGATGCTATTTATCATTTAAATAGGTAGTCTTAAATGTCGTATTAAGGTATGAGTGTTTTGTTTTGCTTTAATTCTGAGAGATCTGTTGGGAATACTCCAATGCACATAGTACAAATCTAGTTGATTAGTATTAGACTACAAGGCATTAGTTAACCTATGTGATTTAATGCAAATAACTTCTCTGTATGTTCCCACATTGCAAATGTGGAGATAACACTGCCTACTCTGTGTACTTCCTGAAATTGGTGTTGAAAGGTAGCAAAATATTTTAAAATACTTTGAAAACAGCTAAGTTATGTAAATTTAAAGCATTTTAAGATGTTCATTTGCACTTAAACTGCACTATTCGATACATAGTCATTTTAGTGAGCCACAGGTAAACTCTCTATATTCTACATATCATTTCTTACTGTCAGTAAAAGGATCACAATTATAGATTGAATAAAAGCCTTCTTAAAAATATCTATGCCATAACCACCAGAACGTGTACTATATTACCCTACATGGCAAAAGGTACTTCGTAGGTGATTAAGTTAAGAATCTTAATCAAAGATATATCTAGGTGAGTCCAATGTAATCACAGTGTCCTTGTTAGAGGGACGCAAAAGGGTCAGAGTATGAAAAGGGGAGGTGACGTGTGTGTGTGTGTGTGTGTGTGTGTGTGTGTGTGTGTGTGTGTGAGAGAGAGAGAGAGAGAGAGAGAGAGAGAGAGAGAGGTTGGGAGAGAGAGAGAGAGAGATTGGAAGATGCTATTCCATCAGGTGGAGTCACAAAGCAAGGGATGCAGGCAGCTTCAAAAGGCAAAAAAATGAATTCTCTTCTAAAGTCTCCATAATGAATACACCAGTGCCAAAAACTTGATTTTAATTTTTTGACCTCTGAAATAATAAATAATAAATTTGCGTGGTTTAAAACCACAAAGTTTTTGGTAAATAGGAAACTAATACAATCATGAAAACATAGCCAATTATCCACTACTGATAATCAGGGCTTTTTTCTGAGAGCACATGGGTTGTAAAATAATGGGTCTGACCAGTTTTTGAATCTGTTCCCCAGTGCCATGTCACCCAGACTGGTGAGTCATTAACAGCTCCCCTCCACGGTCACGGACAATTGAGCACCAACTACTTAAGAAGGGCCAATGGACAACACGTGGAGGTCACCTTGCCCTGACTCCGTCCCAGAGTAGATGTGAGAATCATTCTAGATCTAATATATGTTCCTTTAATGCTTTCTGGGGAAAGAACAGTCTTCTACTTCCACGGGTAGAAATGCTTCTCTTTCCAAAACACGTAGAATTAAAGTTTTCTAAACTCTAGAATTCTTTCACCTAAATATATTTTTTTTCTTATTCTACCCTTAGTAGACATAAAAATTAAGAAGTAATACTTATAAGTCCCTTTCACGTTCTTCTTTTCTTAGTTAAATGACTGCATTTCCATATTCTTTAATATTTTCTTAGACCTTTTTAAAACCTTGATCCATTTGGAATGTTACATCCTGTCTTGTATTCTCTCTGTCCATGACTTAAACATTGGATCCCAGAACCTGCTGGACAAAATATGCTAATCCTTCTTAAGAGTGATGCATTTGTAAAAGTTGGCTGTGCTCTAATAAATAAGATTAGACATAGAGGAAGGAGTTTTGGTTAAACCCTGTTCTGGTACTCACTGTGTGACGGTGGGCAAACCACTTAACTTCTCTGAGTCTGAATGACGTCATTTATAAAACAAGGAGCTTGGAATGAACACCCAGACACAGCCTGAAGAGTCATTAAAGAGAGGCACAAATCTCCTGAGACTTTCTAATGAGAAAGTAATCACCACTGGCTGAAACAATTGATAAATACTACCCCTTAGCTATTCTACAAAGGCAACACTAGGAGGATATAGGCTTGTATGGATTTTAGCAATCCATGATTCCAGATGTAGCACCTTTCAGTGCAGGAAAAGCCAGATTCTTGGCATCTAATGGATGAGGAAGGGTGGGGGAGAAAGGGGAGAGCACAGGAGACAGACATAATGCAGGGCCGGGAACACCAAGGACATTGCAGAGTCCCCGAGGGTTTCTGAAATGCTCTCGTGATCTCAGCAGACTATTACAGTAGTCCACTGGCATGTGAATTGCACCACGTAATGGCCCTCAGCTTGCTGGGTCATGTATGGCTTTATTCCCAGTGCCCAGGCACAATAACCAATAATAGTTGCTCACAATATATGTGTTAGATGACTGAGTGAATAACCCCAACTAGCCTTTCTCATCTTAACTTTCTCTGAGGGCTATGTCCTGACATTCACATTGTATTTTATGCAAATGGTACCCCTTGGATTTATGAGAACAGCAGCTCTGCCTCCCTTCAAAAAGGCACTGAATGGACTTCAGGGAACTGAATGGACTACTGGAGTTTTCTAGACAAAGATAATGAAATCTTAAAATAGTGATAGCAGTGGGAACAGGAAAGAAAACAGATACCAGCATAATGTATTTAGGGTGGTTTAGGAAATACACTAAAATACTCTTGACTAGTCAAAGTCAAGTCTTGTTTTCTTTCCTATTTTTCTTTAGAGTAATTCAATAATAATCTGTTACAGAAAATTGGGAGGCTTGTCATTTATCTCCTGTTAAACACAAGTTAAACTGTTATCATAAACCTCACACTTCCGCCAAAAACTTATATTGAACCCATTTTTCTATGTTAGGATCTAGCACTTCAGTCAAAAAGAAACAATTTACAAAAATATTTTAAGAAATCAAAACAACAACAACAAAAAGCCCTAAAGAACTCTGCCATTTTTTAAAAGCATACCACATATGCAAACTTATACATTTTTTCCCTGAATCCTGTGTCACAGAAACATTTGTTAAAATTGCTCTGTCTTTATTTTGATAATTTTCACCATTTAAATTATGAAGAGAACTACTGTAAAGCAAGTCATTCTGATTACGGAGTCAAGCATGTGATTCAAATAGAGTATTTTGAAGCTATGCAGCTTCTATTAATATTCAAGATTCCATTGAATTTTTTTTCTATGAGACATTTTTTAAAAGGAGATAAACCTACAACTACAATCTTTTTGGAACTTGATATCATATACACAAATAAGTCAAATAAAATTCTTCCAATTTTAAACATATCAGATGATTAGTATTTATAGGAACTAATCAAAACATTATGAAGAATATTATAAAAACTTTGTTTGAAACCAAACATAAAAGTAAAAAGTAGCTATCTAAAAAAAATAACTGCACTAGATTTATATTTTATACATAAGTATACAACCTTGGATATTAAACATGCTGCTAGCTATCTCTTAATGAGTATTGTTTTTAATAACAGACTGACAATTTTTACCTACTAGAGGCCTGATGCATGAAATTTATGCAAGAGGAGGCCTTCTTTCCCCCCGCTGCTGGTACCAGCTTCCCTCTGGCACCCGGGACCCAGAGGTTTCCCTCACAGCCCCAGCTTCATCTGGAAGGTCGTCCGGAAGGACAACCGGTCTAATTATCATATTACCCTTTTATTATTATAGATAAGTTGGTATTCCCTGAAAATCATTTGTGCAATAATTAAATTAACATAGTTAAAATAGAAACTTACTAACCCATTTATATTTTAAAAGTATTACTTCATAATAATCGGTAAAATATTATAGAAAATGACATGAACATATATTTACAATAAAAATCAACATGTGCCAAAATACACAGAATATTGCAATGCGAAGCAGAATTTTATACAAAATCTTAATAATACACCTCAGTTGCTCATTGTTAAAAAAAAAACAAAAAAAAACACCATCATTTGGTCCACAGAAGCTATATGAAAAAAATATACATATTCAAGATAAAACATCATAAAATCAAGTAAGCCAATTATCTGGGCCATTATAATCTTAAATATTTCTCAAGCGAAAGCAGACAGGAGAGATGAATACCATAAAAACTCAAATTATCTAATTCATCTAAGTGCACAGGCCATTAATATGTAACGTAAGTAATTACAAATAACCTTTTGTAATTCATTGGTGACAGTATTCTAGAAATTCTACTCTATTTTCACGCACTAAAAAGTTTTTAGAAATACCTCTTCCACAAAGATGTCTTTCTTCTCTAGCATTTCTCGTAAAGTCTGAAGAATTTTAATGCACAGTTTTTCTTCTTTCTCCATTAGTTTCTTTGTATGGTTGATCAACCTTAAAGCAAAACATTAAACCTTAAATAGGACAGTGATTTCTCTTCAAGCTGTATATTATCACATACTAGAGGGAAATAAATCACACTATTATTTAAGATTATGAAGTAAACAAGATAGATGCCTGTTTTCAAAATTTTTTAAGAATTACATTGAAGCTATAGACTCTGCATTATAAAGCTTCCATTGTGTAACAGGCAGTATATCTCAGTGCTTCTAAATTTATTCAGATAGTATATTGTTAATGGGACACAATACTCTGAAAAACAATGAAATGCTAATTATCTTTAATATCATCATATGAACTGAAACAATTTTACTGGGAGAAATATGGATATTTGCAGTATATTACATTTTTATGTAATGTTATGCTATATTATTTTCTATATACTATATTACATTGATTATACAGTACTAGCAGTATACAACATTGCAACCTTATCATGGGCTGCTTTCTAGTTTTCATTAATAATAATAATATGCTATTTTTCACCACTATAGCTTGGTAAAAGCAAGCAGTTTTTGTGATTAGAAGAAAAACAAAAACAAAAAGGGTAACATTAAGACATCTGTTCGTTTACTATAATTTGAACAAAAATTCTGATTAATATTATAGTGGTAACTTTTGCACTGGTGTTCTGTCAAGAGAAAAGTTTGAGGATCACAGTTACATAGCATCCCCAAAAACTCAAAATCAAATGAAATGTTCATCATTAGAATTTCTAGCTTAGCATAGATGGTTCTTAACTAAGCTGATTTGTAAGATGACCATGTGAGACATGTCTTCCTGGAAAAACAAAATGATGTAGGTTATAAGGGAATGATGTGGTGATTCTAGTGACATAACAGAGTGCTATGGGACAGTGACATTTCACTAGATAATGGCCAGAAAGTGGCTTATCAGGTGTCAGTGTGATGGACAATGACTTCTCATGGACTCTCTTAACTCATCCTTATAATAAGCGAATGCCAATCTAATTTTACTAATGAGAAAACTCAGGTCTAGAGAGATAAAGCAACTGGCCTCTCGTTACATAATTATTAAAGAGCGGCATCTGGAAATAGTCCCAGGTCCATATGACTTCAGAGCCAATCTGAAGCCCCACTCTGTGGTGACATGACTCTGTTCACTGTTCTCTTGAGTCTCAGAGGTACTGTGAAGAGAGTGCCAGCAAAACTAGGCTGCACACCTCTTACACGACATGATAAGGGCTATAGCAGCTGTAGTGGCAATGCCATAAACTAGACAAAGAAGCTGTCACCTTCTGTTGAGGGAGTTGCCTAGGGCTGACAGAGATGGTTTCAAAGACAGGGATGACATTTAACTATGAAGATTTCACCTGGCAGGGGACAGTGGAGAGGTAGAAGGCATCCCTGCAAAGGGAACAGCAGGAACAAACAGGTGGAGACAGAAAGCTGACCCTCACATCCAGGAAATGATAGTTCTCTCACTGGCAGCTGACACTGAAAGTCTTGGAAGAGGAGAGTGTAAACGATGTGGTCTGGAAAGAAGGAACTGGGAATATCATGCTGAAGAGTCTGGAATTTACTCTATAGAAAATAGGTTACCATTGTTTTAAAGCACCTGAATAACCCTGCCAACATGTGGGGGTTGGGGGGGGGGGGAATCCATCAATGGCAGTGGGAAAGATGATATGGAAGAATGAGAACAAAGCAAGAGATGAATAGGGCATGTGATGGGGTAAGAATACAAGAAGAGATATGGAAATAAAGTAGCCAAGTCTTCACAGCAAAGGAAACCATCAAAATGAAAGGGAAACCTTCTGAATGGGAGAAGATATTTTCAAACAATATACAATATCTGACAAGGGGTTAATATCTAAAATTTATAGCATTCATACAATACAAAAAACAAACAAACACATAATCTGTTAAAATATGGGAAGTTGACCTTTCTCCAAATAAGACAAATGGATGGCCAAAAGGCACAAGAAAAGATACTCAACACCAGTAATTATTAGGGAAATGCAAATCAAAACCATTCTGAGATATCACCTTACATATGTCAAAATAGCTATTTCCAAAAAAGACAATTACAAGTGTTGAGAATATGGAGAAAAGGGAACCCTCATAGAATGTTGGTAGAATTAAAAATGGGTGCAGCCAATATGAAAAACAGGAAGTAGATCCCTCAAAAAAATTAAAATTAGAACTACCTTATGACCCAGCTTCATAACTTCTGGGAATTTATCAGAAGAAAATGGAAACACTAATTTGAAAAAAATATATGTGCATCCCTATATGTCCATTGCAGTATTAAATACAATAGCCAAGATATGCAAGTAACGTAGGTGTACACTGATAGATGAATGATAGGTAAAGATGTGGAAGATATATTCCATTATTTGTGTGTGTGTGTGTGTGTGTGTGTGTGTGTGTGTGTGTACTGTTACTCGGCCATAAAAAGTGAAATATTGCCATTTGCAACAACATGGATGGATCTAGTGGATATTATGCTAAGTGAAATGAGTCAGACAGAAGAAGACAAATACCATATGCCAGTGTTTTTCAACCTTTTTTGGGCAAAGGCACACTTGTTTCATGAAAAAAATCACGAGGCACACCACCATTAGAAAATGTTAAAAAATTTAACTCTGTGCCTATATTGACTATATATAAAGTAATTCTCTTGAATAGGAATCAAATAAACACAAAGAAAGTACAATATTTTTATAATTACTTTATTATGAAATATTAAGTAAACAAAATAGTGAAAATTATAAAATTCTTGTCTTGTCTGCACCTACGGCACACCAGGCAACATCTCGCGGCACACTAGTGTGCCGCGGAACAGCGGTTGAAAAACGCTGCCATATGCTTTCACTTACAATTGGAATCTAAAAACAAACAGAAAAATGAACAAAACAAAACAGACTTATAGATACAAAGAATAAACTGATGATTGCCAGATGGGAGGGTAGAAGGGGGAAAGGTGAAAAGGTAAAAAGAATTGAGAGGTACAAACTTCTAGTTATAAAATAAGGTCCAAGGATGTAATATCCTCATTCCCAGCAATATCTCCATATCCTCAACCACACAGGAGTTGGCTGTGATGGGAGATGGTCAAGGGGACTGGCAGCCTCAACCAACTCCCCATCCAGATACTCTCCCAAGAAGTCCAAGTAGCTCTGCCTGGCGGTCTTGAGTCTACATGTGATTTGCTTGCAAATCACTCAATGAAGTGTCCTCCATGTTAAGACATTTCTCTTCATTCTGAGGTTTATGCTACTTTTTCTCACAACTGCTTAATACTTGCAGATCTTTCTTGAAATTTTTCACTTACCATTCACATGAAAATATTCTAGGATAAATATATTAGCTATAACAGCTCTGACAATGCCACAAAAATGCTGTGAAAAATAAGTAAATGAAAGATCTGCAGAGGAGGATCATCTGCTTCCATGGCAGAGTTCTGAGTCTGAGACATAATTGCTCTTTACCTGATGCATACACGACCCTCAGCTTCCTCATCTCTAAAATGAGGCTGACCTCTCAGAGTATTTATGCAGATCAGATAAAATAGGTAAACCCACAGAGGACCATCATGCACATAGTGAGATCTCAATAAATGTTAGCTCCATTTGCTTTCTATGTGAGTGAAACTTGGTGACTTTAGACAGGAATCTTTTTAAGGGTCACACCTTGTAGCTGTAGAAAGGAATCAGAACTAAAATATTATTTGATGTGATATTGTGTGCCAATCATGACACATTCCACTTGCAGTAAATTTTAGTAAAATATGACTTTCACCAGCATAAAAGTTCAATGACATCAAATTACTTTGGAAGTATATTTTAACATGGATTTTTAGACCTTTGACAATACTCTGTGGACTGTCCTTATGTAGCAGCAGCGTAAAAAGCAGAAATGTTACAGGCCATCTCGGTTTGGTTGCACTAACAGGGTCGCAGATCACCCCCACTTACTTGGACATGAAAGCACCGCATCGGATCCTCGCATCACTCCCCTCAGGGAACAGCAGCTCCGGACTGTACAACACATCCACCAGCACTGAGAATTCCGCCTGCATCATTGGGCTGAACTGTTGCTCCAAGGAAGCCACGACATCCTAAGGAAGAAAGCACATGAGAACCTGTATGAAGACCCAAGTCAGACTTCATCCTTTGAAGACACGACAAGCTGAGGAATACTAACTGGGAATGAGATGTGGGAATTTCACAGATATACCCCACCTTCCCATGGTACCCAATATCTGTTCTTTCAGTACAGTCTGGTTTTCTGTGTCAGTGCTGCTTGGGTCTCTGTTGTCATTTATAAGATAAGGGAGAGGATGGTAGCTTATATGATTTCTAAAGATATACACACAAGATGAAAAGCCAATAAAACCACTGGTACGGCCCTTGAATTGTCTAGGGTTGTAAAAGACACAAAACAGATATTCATTAAATTGGAATTGGAACATGCCTGTGCAAAAGCTACCAAAAAAAAAGTTTTCAATGTGTCATTGGTCATCTAGAAATGACCATTTCTCCCAATGGGAAAATTCCTTGTTATATTGTTTGAAAAAAATGTATAGAATATAATCCCTTCCCTCTTACAAGAAAGAGTCTTAATAATATCACCTAGTCTCCAATCATCAGGACCTCTTAAATTTCTCTCACACCCTTTATTCCCATCCAATAGCCACCAATCTGTTGACCCGGCCTTCATTGTTGTTTGCAACACCTGCTTATTCATTGCATTCATACCACCAACTGGCTGGGATCTTAAGTAATTCTTAACTAATCTGACTTCCTCTAGTCTCTTCCTGTTAATCCTATCCTGCAAACCAGTAACTGCTTAATTATGTATAATGACATTCCCCCCCCCCAAAATTGAAATGACCTTTAATGACCTGAATAGCCTTCAAGTTCATCATACTGAAACTAACTTGTCTTTTTAATCACATATAATGCTTATCTATTAAAACTCTGAAACTTCACGCATTAATCTACATGTAACCTCTCATAATATTTATTCCAGTTCATGTCTTGATCATTTCTTTAACACAATACCCTCATTTGCTCCAATGAAATTCTCTACAATTATATGGGTAGGAAGATCTGTTATGGTTTGAATTGTGTCTCCTGCAAAACTCCTATATCCAGGTTCATGTCTTAACCCCCTGTACTTCATAATGTGACTGCAATTGGAGAGAGGGCCTTTACAGAAGTAATTAAGGTAAAATGAATTCATATGTGCAGGCTCTAATCCAATATCACCAGGGGGAAGTTATAAAGTAAAGCCTGGTCCCCAACTAGAATTGGAATATATTCAAACATATTTTACTTGTGTAACTACATATGTTAATGATGTAATTTAGAAAATATTAATGCCATTTCATGCTCGCATTGTACCTGTAACTTTTCAATAATATTTCTATAGTCCCAAGCAGGTCCTCCAAGAGCTTCCTTAAAGCGGGGTCCGGAGCGAGCTGACAGTCTCCAGCCCATGGCTGCTCTCTGCACCATATTTGAATGGTTCTTCATGAAAAGAGTATTAACTTGACTATCCAAATCCACTGGAATAGCAATTCCACGATTCTTTGCTGAAAAAGAAAGATTTTAAAATATTTCCCTCTTAATTTGACTAAAGCTTTCTACACATTATCAAAATAATTGTATAAACAGAGAACAAATAAAAAAGTAAAACATAAGATACATGAGATCTGGGATATAATGGACAGAAGATGACTATACTTAACAATATTGTACTATATATTTGCAAGTAGCTAAAGAGTAGATCTTAAAAGTATTCCAAAAAAAACCTGTAATTATGTGAGGTGACATATGTCAACTAAATCTATAATGGTAATTATTTTTCAATATACTTATTGTAAATCATTACACTGTACACCTTAATACAATGTTATATGTTAATTAAATAGAAAAAGCATCAAATCTTTAAACTCTGCTATTAAGTTATTTTATATAACTTCAAAAGCTTTTAACATAAAAGTATGTCAATTTTTAAGGCCAGCTATTAAAGTGGGCTCATTAAATATTCAAGAACTTATTTGATTTCTTATGCTTAATGTTCAAAATGTGCTTCCTACAGCATCACTATAGAAACACCCTGCATGACAAACATGCACATTTGTACTTTCCCAGTTGCCAAGGAAAATAAGAAAACATAAGGAAATCCTGCTGGCCCATTCATTAATTAGTGTGTGTGCGTGTGTGTGTGCACACGTACACACATACACAAAATGTGAAGTTGCAAAATACCCTAGGGAAAAAAAGGTTTTGTGTTTGTTTTTTAAAATATATTTTATTGATATTTTACAGAAAGGAAGAGAGAGGGAGAGAGAGTTAGAAACGCCAATGAGAGAGAAACATCGACCAGCTGCCTTTTACACACCCCCTACCAGGGATGTGCCTGCAACCAATATACATGCCCTTGACCGGAATCGAACCTGGGACCTTTCAGTCCACAGACCGACACTCTACCACTGAGCCAAACCGGTTTTGGCAAAAAAAAAAAAAAAAAAAAAAAAAAAAAGTTTTAATGGAAGATGTATGAAACCTGCATTGGAAAATGGCACACAGGCCGAAACCGGTTTGGCTCAGTGGTAGAGCCTCGGTCTGCGGACTGAAAGGTCCCAGGTTCGATTCCAGTCAGGGGCATGTCCATTAGTTGCGAGCACATCCCCGGTAGGGGGTATGCAAGAGGCAGCTGGTCGATGTTTCTCTCTCATTGACGTTTCTAGCTTTCTATCTCTCTCCCTTCCTCTCTGTAAAAAATTAATAAAATATGTTAAAAAGAAAAAAGAAAATGGCACACAGTATATGTCCTTCTTCCCCAAATCAACTGAAAGTCACATTTTATCAGACTTATACAACAACATTAAAAAATGAGAAGGCTTGCCATGAGGAAAACAGAAACGTGGAGCCATTTCTGAGGAGTGAGGATGGGATTAGTCCCTCAGAGAAGAAAGAGGTGAAACTGTTTTACAAGAGATTCAAGTTAGAACAGGCCTCCCTAGGTGCACAGTCAACCAACACTAAGAGTGGTACAGGGTCTGGGGCAGTCATTGGGCGAACCCACTCAGTAAGAACATCTGAATAGCTGGGGAATTAAGACCCTCCTCTCTCAGACTAGCATAAACAGAGGAGCTGGCAGCAGCAGGATCTACTCAGAGGATCAAGTTAGGAAATGTAGAAATGTTCTCTCCAGAAAGCGGGATACCTACCTGGAGAAAATGCCAAATTCAGGTGTTAGGACCTGACAGAGAAGTGGAATAGAGTTTGAAGGAACTTCAGAGATCTTCCTCAATACAATGCAGAATGGGGGAAAGAGAAGAGACAGCTCCAGCAAAAGATGAGCCGACTCCACACACACACACACACACACACACACACACACACACACTAATCCTGCATATCATTTACACAGTCCCTCAACCCGAACTCTGGGTCAGCCCTGTCATCTACGAGTACATGAGACTGCTGGTAGAGAAATCAACCTTCAATTTCTGTCTTCTCTGCACCGGGAGCTGCCCTCCCACCACAGCCCCTCATCCCCAAGTTTGTCTCCAGCCCCTCCTTGGTCAGGAGCACCTCTCAGCGGCTGAGCCAGTCACTGTCTGCAGTGGTGCTGAATGGACAGGGGGCACTGACAGATGAGAGCCTCAGCATCTCAGCAGCCCCACAGCTCCTGACTTCACTCAGGGAGAAACACAATGTGAAGACTGAGGCAAAGACTGGATGTGCGCAGCTGCAAACCAAGAAATGCCAATCAACACCAGAAACTAAGAGGAAGTCTGGAACAGATTCATCCCTTGAGTCTTTCGAAAGAGCGTTGTTTTAGTAAATATCTGTTAGTGCTCGCTTCGGCAGCCCGTATACTAAAACTGGAATGATACAGAGATTAGCATGGCCCCTGCACAAGGATGACATGCAAATTCGTGAAGTGTTCCATATTTTTTAATAAATAAATAAATACATTTCTGTTGTAATCCATCTGGTTATGTAATTTGTTATGACAGCCCTACCAAACTGATATAAATGCCAACAGCAAGGAGAAAACTGCAAGAATTTCTGGGGAACAGAGGGGGGGAGGCGGGACTCCTATAGAAAATCAGACTGTCACCAGACTTCCCACAATCAGTAAATATTAAATGCTAGAAGTAGTACAATAATGGATTTAAAGACCAGATGGACAGAGATTTTGAAACTAAAAGTTTATGCCCATCTGAACAAAAAGTCAGCTGGGCCGGTTTGGCTCAGTTGAGTGTCTACCTATGAACCAGGATGTCACCATTTGATTCCGGTTCAGGCACATGCCCAGGTTGCAGGCTTGACCCCTGTGTGGGGCATGCAGGAGGCAGTGGATCAACAATTCTCTCTCATCATTGATGTTTCTCTCTCCCTTTCCTTTCCTCTCTGAAATCAATAAAAATACATATTTTTTTAAAAAGTCAAATGTCATTCCCAAATAAAAATATTTCAGAATATGCAAGGTTCAGAACTTTTTCTCTGAAACCCTATGAAAATTACTCCCTCCCAAAACAAGAAAGGAATCCAAGGAAATGTCGACTCGACATGAATACAAGAAATTGTGGCAACTGGGTGTGAATATGAAGCAGAGAACAAAGCTAGAAACAAAGGAAAGACCTGTTAGACATTATTGACTGTGAAATTCTCTTCCTTAGAAAAGGTTCCATATCACAGCACTATATTCTGTCTCTAATGTTTATACTATTAAAAAAAAAAAAACAACTTACCCATCAGCATATTATAGAGCTCTGAAAATGTATTTTTTAATGTTATCAACCTATAAGATATGTCATTATATTTTAGAGTAGAATACAAATGTTACAATTATAACAATGTAAAACCTACAATCTAGTAAGCAGTCGTTAGAACACAGAGTGAGGCAGATAAGGGGAAAAATGAAGGCAGTATTTAATTCCCTCATTGTTCATGTGGATCATGTAGATATTATTTAGAGCTGCTAAATCAAGAGATAGATATGCAAGGGTATCATTTCAAGTTATAATGATAGTCAATAGAAGACTTTATAAAAATGAATGGAAATAGGAAGGAAAGAATGGGGGCAGAGGGAGAGTGAGAATGAATGAATAAATCTGGCTTGTTTCATATAATGAAAGGACAGCAACAACAGTAGGCAGTACTGAAGTGAAAGGTATTTAAAAACTTCTTTGAAAATAAACAATTTTAGCTATCTACACAAAGTTACCAATTTAAAAAACAGCTCCGGCTGAAGTTTCAAGGAAATAATAACACCTCCAAGAGAACCCTAAACAATCAATCGCACCACTCCCTGGATTTCTCTAGTGAGCCTTTTCCTAATATTCATCATAAATTTCCCTTTTCCAAAGCATACATTGTGTCTGTTTCCGTCCGTCACTCACAGCAGAGCAACTGCACTCCTGTCCCATCTGAGGGACAGACACTGCCAAGCTGCACATATTTTTATAAATACTTAATCCCGCACAGTGAGCAAATCTTGGCAAGACTCTTCTGGCTGCTTCACGCATCAGCTGGGTTTGCTCTAAACATTTACACGTGAGAGGACAATACTGCTTATCTGTTATTTTCTTAGCAACAAAAACCCTAAGCCTTAATATTGTTCGAAACACATTATAACCCAGTTTCCACTTCCACTGAAACAAATGGGGGAGGGGCGTCGGGACCTATCTCCCCTTTCGAAATCAGATACATTCGATACAACCAACCATCAAATAAGTGTTGTGCCATGAATGTAACTTATGCAAAGAAGTGCTCAATGAATATTTTTTAATGACAACAGTGGGAATAAAGCCCAATGGCAACACCTCTGTTGCTCTTAGCAGCGGATGCGTGCGTGCGCGCGCGCGCGCGCGCGCGCGCGCACACACACACACACACACACACACACACACACACACACACACACACACAAATGAGGTCAGGAACATCTCACCCACCTTCCATATTCCCAGATGTCCTTGACAGCGTCTGCCACTGTCCCACTATAGCCAGCACCACGGGCTGAGAAGACTTCAATATTCCAAAATTCGTTGAAGGAATTTTTTGTTTGTTTGTTATTCTCAAAACTGTGCCACTTTAACTGGTATTTTCTAGTCACCCATCTTAGCACAAATTACACAATATAAGTTAACTGGATAAGATATAGTATCTACTCTTGACTACAGATAAATTCTAGCCAAAGGCTAAATCACAATTTCTTGGGAATAAAAGGAAATTAACTATTCCATTGGGGAAAACAGAACTGGAATTAAAGTTAAGTCAGATACTAATAAAAAGTGTCCAAGTAAATGTAAAACTATTAATACCTTTAAAGGCATGGCCTGAAATAGATTCTCTGCACTGTCAAAATATTATAAATATGAATTTGAAAGCAAAATTTAACAATGCAAATTTGGCTTTCATATAATTTGTGTTAAAATTAAAACAGAAAAGAAGTTGTGACTAGAAAAAGAAAATAATTCATTTATGATCTCACAAGGACATTGATAACTGGAACGATATTTTCCAAATGCAACCAAAAAATGATTGAAACTTAGTTTATGTTTATTCAGCT